AAAAAGTAAGGACTATTTTTACATTTAAAATCAAATCAAATCTTTTTGTTTGTCTTCAAACAATTGCGGAAGGAGCATTTTCATTTTACCTATAACTCTGCAGCATCACAAAATGTTGTGTGATTTCTTTTTATAAAATGAGAAACGATCATTAATAGTTGATATTTGTTTATATTTGAGAAATATGATTAGCCTATAAATACAATATTTATCATGTTTTTTGAGTTTATTGAATAAATCAAAACGAGAATACATCTACTAATACAATGAAGGAAAATAAAGAAAAACATCTTCCGAATAAAACAATCCTCCTCGCGTCTCTATTCGTTCCACCTTAGCACAATTGCGTCGTGTTTCTTCTCTTGTAAAACGTTTTGTTACAGCTTTTAAATCATCAACATCGACTTCAAATACCGTCAGACAAGGTATGAATGTCTTTGTTTCATTTAGAAATTGTTCAACATAATCTCTATGTGCATATCTCACATCGAGTCTAGTCAGATGAAAGTATTCAATAATTGGGTGTAATTGACAATTGTCAGATGAAAATGTCATAAGACCATCTAATACTTGTGATTCACTATTAAAAATACGTAAATACTTCAGTAATGGAAACGATCGGCCAATTCGAATGAAAAATTCATGTTTGAATGGATTAGTATCTTCTACAAGTAAAAGCGTAACATAACTAAATACAATATTTGGAAATTTATTGCCAAGATGTTTGAGATAATCAAATTCAAAAGGAAGTGAGAAAATCGAGCATGCAACTATCCCACCTTGAATATAATTGACTATACTCGTGACATGTTCTTGTCCAATATTTGTTAATGTTTGTTGAATATCTTCACTAGATAACTTGTAGGATAAATCAACTGTTTTCACAAAAGTACAAATATAGAAAGTGAATGAATGAAGTTGTGGCATATAATCCAAAATATCATGTTGAACATAAGTACCATCAATCACTGTATTTCGATCTTCTATAGGAAGGTATAAAGTTAATTTTTCCAGATTTAACATACGACGAAGAAGTGATACAATTTTATCATATTGTTTATATCGAAAGAACGATTTTAATGAGAAACATTTTAGATTAAATAATTTATCCTACAAAAAGAAAGAAATATTTTTTTTGATAATCTACAAGATTAAGTGATAGGCATCATTATTTTAGACATGGTATATGATATATATTCTATCTGTGAATGACCACAAATGACAAATCTATTAGTTTGATTTTCTCATTTTACAGCATAACACACGAGTGTTCAACGAACAATTAAAATTTCAGACAAACTTCCAATCATATCTCAATTATTGGAAAAATTGTTATTATAGAAAAAGTTTCGTTCCATTCTATGCTGATGATCATTCACATATGATAATATTTAATCAATCATGAAACAAAACATTTAGTTTTCAATGTAAAACTTATCCGATAAAATATTATATAATTATAATTTCTAGCAACAAATTTCATTGATTCTTTTATTAAATTGAAATTTCTAGTAAATACAAATTTAATGTCAATGATTTTGATATATTCATCAACACCTATCCATTTTTTCCCCTTGTCAACATGAAACTTAACCATTCGATCTCTTATTTGAATTTTTTGAGATCAATCGTTAACTGCATTAAAATAGTAATAATCTTCATGTCATAAATAAAATTATTTGTAAAAACTTACCATATTGTGAACAACTCTTGAATACTCGTTTATAGAATAGATATTAACACACAATGTTGTCAATTTTCTAAGTCGACCATCAAGTAAATAAAGACAATCATCAAAAGTTTTTACATTGATATATAAATGAGTAAGAATCGGAGATGAAAAAGTAGTCGATGGCAAATAACAAAGTGATAAACCTGGATACATTGATATAGCAGATGGTCCCATGATACTTAATTCTTTTAAATTTTTGAAGAAGGTCAAGATGTGATTATATACGTTTGTAGTATAATTTTTCAATGAACATATGATTTCGTCTTCATCATCATTGATTAGAGTAAGGTTTGTAATTTGTTCTTGGAAAATAGATCGAAGTGATGGTTCATCTAAAGGAGAAAACAATGAAATGAAACATATTCTAGTCTATTCTATTTAACACTTTTATTATTTCTCAACTAATCAAATTCATATTAAATGCTTACTTGTAAGATAACCTAAAGCGAATTTTTGTTCGAAATGATGAATTTTAAGTTCAGTTAGATTCGGATAGTCAGTGGCATGAAGAAAACGTTTCATACAATATGAATCCAAAATAAAACATTTCACATTATGATGAATTCTTGGTAATATATCGATGCAGAATCGATCGAATAAAGAATAATCACAAATGTCGACAAGCTTCAGAATGTTGGTGAAAGTGTTTTCTTGTGCAAGAATGTTAAGTCGTCCATTTTTAATATCCAATAAAGAATAAAGTACATCAACATTGTTCAACTTCTTCAAAATCATAAGTAATATTTCATCAGGTAAATCCAGAAGATGAACATTTGATCGGTTCATATTTGATTATGACTGTGATGCTTTTCACTACGACAGAGCTATATATATCTATATTGTTCATTGTTTGCATATCATGTGTTTTTTAGACGATTTATTCGTTAATTCAGTCTTCATTCGTTTTATTTTTTTCATTCTGTCTGGGCGTTTTGCGCCATTGGCAAATTGGATAGGTCAACTTTTTCACAAATATAAAACATTGATGTATCGTTCGATCATAGTCATTCATTGTTGTGTGCATTTTCGAAAAAAATTGAAGGATGACATTGAGAAGAAGAATAAAGGATATATTTTTCTTATAGCAGAATCAGTTGAATTTCATTCGTTTAGTATTTTTTACATTCGAGATTTTTCCAATTTAAAATCAAATCTGAAATTTTTGCGAAAAGACAGTTCTTTGATGGCCTCAGGTCTTTTAGTTAGGAAAAAATTTCACTACAAGTTATAATAATAGAAATGTATAGATCTGGATATGATCTAGGTACACTGCACACACACATGTGTATTGTGAATCTGACGTTTTCTGTCCACCTGAAAACAGGGTTAAGCTATTTGATATGTAGTATAATCTCGTCAATGTTGAACTAACATCTTTTCATTATAGAAAAAAACCGTTAACAATAGGCTTAGAATTCGTTGAAAGGAGAAAAAAACTCTGAGAAAAGTATGCATTGTCAAGATATGTGTAAGGATAGATACGTACATCGTTATGTTTTGTCAACAAAGATCAGATCACATCTATGCAATGAAACGACAGATATTGAGAGAAAGACCGAAGAAAGAAGCGACTAAAACATAGACGGTGATCTCGACATAAAAATTCTTGAAAAGCAATTGATAATGACTTTCAAATTGTGTAGAAAAGAAAATTTTAATGATGAAATAATGTGCAATAAGATATATAAATAATGGTTCGACGTTTGATGTTAATCTATAAAAAGATTGAATTTAGAAAAATAGCGAAGCATTTTTGGAAAAAGTTCCTAAAAGAATACGAGAAATGTCTTGAAGATTAATTCCATTACTTGAAAAGAAACCCATGCATGATGAGTATATCAGCAAAATTTTTCTATTGGAACTTTTCAATACATATCGTTTTCAATACAGATCGGGAACTTTCACCTCGTCATTATTATAGTTCTCTGAAACTACCATCAGAAGAACGAAATTTTTAGTTAACAAAAGAAAAGAAAATTTATTTTTGAATTAAACTTTTCCAATCTATACACAGAGAACAGACGAAGACTTTTGTAGGTTTTTCCAATCTCACCGATGTCTACCTTATCCACAGAGACTCAACTTGAAATCGATTTATCATTTCCAAGGATTTCTTCGTTAGATAAATATGCCTTAGGAAGTTTTGCACGGAACCATGTTGACCAAACCTTTTTTCCACTATTCTCTCGACCGGTTTCCTACAAAACCATTTGTACGAATCCTTTTGGACATTACTTTGCAAAGGTTTCGTACTGAACCTTTTGTACGAAACCTTTTTGACTTTTTTCTGTAAAGGTTCGGTGCGGAACCTTTTGTGCGAAACCTTTTGCAGTTTTCCGATAAAGGTTTCGTACGGAACCTTGTGTACGAATCCATTTTTCTCATTCATCATGAAGAAGTTTCATACGAAACCTTTTTTTTACGAAACCAAAAAAGGATCCGAATCTGTATCCAAGGGAAGATCCTTTTTTGGTTTCGTAAAACTCCTTTTTTTTTTACAGTGTATACAACAACAATAACAAAAAAAGAATGTAATAATAAATAAATAATTTAATTTAAATCAAAAAATCTTGTAATTTTATGATTATTTTTTAATTTAGTTGATTTTGATTTTGTTTTTGTTTTAAATGTTGTATTATTTATACGTCGATTTATTGATATTGTATGACCACCAAATTTATTAAATGTTCGTTGATAATTATTTTGATTTTGTATTAATGGACGAACATAATAATCATTATTTTCTTCTTCAAAATCATCATTTTATTTTCTAACTTTCATTTTTTTATTATTATTGGTAAATCAAGATTTGATGATGTTGGTGTTGTTTGTTGTATTATTGAATGGAGTATATCAATAGCTAATGAAGTTGTTTGATATTGTTGTGTAGAATATGTTGGTGATAATTGTTCAGGTATATTTATAAGATCAATCATATTTTAATCAATTTCATCATCTTTAGATATTTCATCATCATTAATTAAAGATATTCGAGATGATTGAACATGAACTTTTTCTGTAACATTATCAAATATTGAACTTTTATCAAGAACATGTCGTGCCAGAGTATGTGTATCTGATGAAGTTGTACGAAGTAAAAGAGATTCTAAATGATTAATACATGATTGATAAGATTCAAGTTGTTGACGAACAGTTATTAATTCTTATTTGGCATTATCTGAAGAATTTATTCTTCTAAATAAACAATATTTGGTTTTATTAAGAAAATATTCTCAATTATCGAATATTGTTTTATACAATATTACAAAAAAAGGTATAGATTTCTACTCGATACAACGATACAAAAAAAACAATGCAAGAATTATTTTTATCTTTTACAGAAGGCATTAAAAAATCTCAGTTCAAAGATTTTTTAGACTTTTCTTACGAGCAAACATTCTCAAGTGATCCATCGCTTTTCGTCCCATATTTTGCCCATAAGTAGGGAATCTATAGACTAGAAAAATGGGTTGACGTTGCGATTTGTTTGAGATATTCAAGTTTTACTAGAATTTTCCTGCAAAACCCTGATTTTCCAACAGAATCATATTTTCGAATTTCGATCTGAAACTTTGTCTATATAAAGCCTTAAATGAGACTAGATTATGAAAATAATTTCAGCATTTTTAGACATACCATCACCGAGATATGAATTTCTCAAAATAGTCATGTTATATACGATAGCTATGGGACAGAGATGATCACAGAGCAGGGTAACCCTGCTCTGTCCTGACCAGGATACAGGCTAAGAACTTAATGTTCACTCTGCCCTGAAACAGGACAGGGAAAGATAACTCCAGGTGCAGGACAGAGCAGAGTGAAATCTTTATACCCTGCAAATATGAGTATAAATTTTTAAATTTTTAAATGAGAAGTTTTTCTTTAAAATAAGCACTTGATTGGGTCTTTGAGAGTGAAAAAAAATAGGCTATAGAAGAGTGTTAAATGTTCTCTACAGATGAACAATTAAATCAATAATGAGTATTAGAATCATCGAAGAAACCCAAGAATGACAAAAATATATTTCGAAGATTGAAATGTGAACATATAATTAAAGAAATTAATGAATAAAATCAAAGTTCAAATGAAATTCAAGAACATGAATTTGATTGAAAGGAAAATGATGAGCTATAGGTTGATATATATTTTTTCAATTTGATTTTAAGCAAGAAAACAACAGAAATTGTACAATTTTGGTAAAATTCCAGGCATAAACTTTCATTTTTTTTCAAAGATGCTCGTTAAATGTTGTTTATTCCGATAAGAAGAATGAATGTATAGAACAAGGGGGAAACAGCTGATTTTAATCAATTTTAAATCAAAAAAATCAGTTAAATCAAAAGAATTAGTTTAATCAGTTAAATCAAAAAAATCAGTTTAATCAGCTAAATTAAAAAAATCAGAAAATTTTTAATTTCTTTTGTTTAAAAACATCGATCAAGAGTGAAATCAGCTGAAGTCAGATTTTTTTTTGATTTTTCTGATTTTCTTTGATTTTTTTGATTTTTCTGAATTTATTGATTTTTCTGATTTCTTTTTTGATTTTTTTGATTTAAAATCAATTGATTTAAATCAAAAAAATCAAAAAATCAAAAAAATCAAAAAAATCAGATTTTAGCTGTTCCCCCCTTGATGTAGAAAGATATTTTAAAATGGTTTCCATAAAATGAAAATCTATGACCTATGATATGTATTACAAACATTAGTGCAGTTGAACTGAATTAAAAACAGAAATAAAAGAGCACATCAACTCGACAGGGTGTAAAAATTCACCCAATGAACATCTCTGCTATGGAAAAACATCTATATTTTGGGAAATTCATATCTCGATGGTGGTATGTCGAAAAATGCTGAAATTATTTTCATAATCTAGTCTCATTTAAGGCTTTATATAGACAAAGTTTCAGATCAAAATTCGAAAATATGATTCTGTTGGAAAATCAGGGTTTTGCAGGAAAATTCAAATAAAACTTGAATATCTCAAACAAATCGCAACATCAACCCATTTTTCTAGTCTATAGATTCTCTACTTATGGGCAAAATATGGGACGAAAAGCGATGGATCACTTGGAAACGTTCCCTCGTTAGTTTGACGGAGATCTACTGATAGTCAAAAAATGGTATTTCGTATTATTTTTTTTTTGTAAAGATTTATCTGAAAAAAAAAAGATTCTATTTGAATTTATAAATAAATCTTACTTTTTAATTGCTTATCGTTTTTCTAATTGCATTTTTTCACAGAGTGCACAGTTATTCGATCTAAATTTCTTGTTAAATCTTGTTTATCATCAGACATTTTACTATGTTCTTCTTTTAAAATAACATTATAACGTACTAATTCTTCTATAACACAACCTTTATCTTGTATTGTTTGACAAGATCCAATCATTTTTTGTAAATCAGATTTAAAACTACTTGCAAGACCTAAATAAACAATAGTTATTAGTACAAATAAAAAATAAACCTTTATAAATAAGTTCAACATTTCTATATTCCACTAATTTCATTTGTAAAGATTTAATTTGTTCATCTTTTTTATTTGATAAATCAATATGTCTAAACAAGAAATATCGAGAAAAAAAAAGATTTTAAGAAAATCAATAAATGATACAAATAGAAGATTTTTATAATAAAAACTATCAATCATTACAAAAAAGATGTCACTAAAACATATTTTAGCGTTTTGAAATGAACATTAAATTTTACTTCAATTATAATAGAAGAAATAAGAGTTTTTTTTTGTTAAATATGAATTTGCAAAAAAAAAAAAAAAAATTCTTCTTGACGAATTCATATCTATCGTATGTGATGAATCTCATCAAACATAACTAATTTTCCTTTATTCAATTTTGAAAAAATTACATCAATGATAAAACACATCAATAATTTCTATTAACCAAAAATTATATTTCTTTTAACTGCATTTTTTAAAATAAATGCATTAATAAATACTTATGCTTTTATAGGTTATCTTTGTCAATAAACAAAATAAGAATAAATGACAGTGATAATCAAATTCAATGAAGAGAACTTATATTCATTTATTTATTCAATATTTTTCATACACAAAAATTCTTATTAAATCAAGCTGAGATATTCAATTGAATGATTTATTTAATTAAATAAATAATCCTTCTTTCTTTTTTCTTTTATTTTTAAATAATAATAATAATCATTATGTATGATTTCTGCATTGAATAATGACATTTAATGAGTAATCGAATTTTCGCCTTTCTGTATAATCATGAAGATGGTCAACTCAAGGATCGTTCTAAAGCAGATTTCTATTATGAATACTAACTTATAGAT